TAGAGATTTAGCTGAAATGCACACATGCCTGCAGGCATAGTTTCAGAGCAATAAGAAATGAGAGAAGAAGATGATGAGAAACAGCAAGTGGTTTTAAAACCCCTAGTATGTCTCTGTATCTAACAATATTCCATGCCGAAACTGTTCAAAAGTTACACGTTTATGAAGTGTCATCACTGGGCTGGGCAGACCAGGCTATCAGCTTGCTAGAAATATTCTAAAGGATGAGTTGAGAGAAGACGGCTTAGGGTTGCAGTCTGCTGGAAATTGTCATAGCAAGAACTGTTTTATCTAATAATTACACTGTCATGTGTGCTCAGATAAAACTAATCAAGTCTCATCTTTCATAAAAAGCAACTTTTTGTTGCTTGGATCCAGAATTAATTTTTTTAAATAATAAAATAGGTCTGTATAGTTGGTCAAATAAATTATAGCTGTTTTGTCTTTCTTTAGGGCAGGATATAAGCTTTGACAGCCCCTAGTAGTAAAGAAACTTCTTGGATGTTGATATCTATAGTCTAGCACATGAATAAAGGAGCAAGGCAGTTAAATCAAAGTCATATTTTTTCACAACATTCCCCAAAGCTAAGTACCTCATATATGTGTGTTTGTTTACCAGCATTGTTTATTCTCTATCAAAGATTGATTGGTATCAATGAGACTAAGAAGATATTTCTAGCACGGAGGTGCATAGAAGAATATGGGATAAGATCACTGAAACGATGAGAGTTTCAAGACAATGTTTCAGGATTAAGTGCATACTGGTATCCCCTGTTATTTAATTCCCATTAAAGTGAGATGGAAGTGAGATAACAACATCTAATTTTGCAACATGCCTAATTTTTTTCCTCAAGACCAATTTTTGTCAAAACCCCCCTGTGAATATGATAAAAAAGTCTGTTTTCTTCTATGCCTAGAATACAAAGCCATAAGGGTGAATTGCAAAGATTTATTATGGATTGGAAATTTAAAAAACAAACAAGGACCGGGAAAAAAATAACTGAAGTTATTGAAAAACTCCATCAAATCAGGATTGCCTGTGAGAAAGAGACAAAGAAATTTTAAAATAAACAATTTTACACAGTTTTAAATTATATATTTGTAAAATACACATTCAAATAGAGTGTCAAGTATTAGGTTAGTCTCTAAACAACAATGTTAAATTCAAACTAGGGTAATTTATTTTAACCAGAAAGATCTCCAGAAAGGTGTTGAAAGTAAAAAAAAAAAAAATTAAACATTAGTTTCTCTGATGAAAACGTGAAACATTTTCTTTTAAAATGTAAAGGTTTGGTGGGAATAAAATGGAGAGGGGACACCACTTAAAAATTTAGTATGCTTTGAATTATGCCGAAGGGCAGAAAATATTTTGTTATTATTATTGTTCTTTAGCTAAGAGTACAGTAAGATACATGAATGGGAAGGAGTAAAGTCATGAATCAGTAATGTTCTCATCTTGCACACTGTATTTGGTTTTGATCGGTCCACACCTGGAAGCATGTGGCAGAAACCCAGGAGCTCAGAGGTATGTGATGAGGGTGAAAACAGATGCTTGCTGTGGGATAAGATACCACTTTCAAGAAAAACTCCAAAGATTAGGACCATTACTTCAGGGGAAAGACAAATAGTCAGGGAAAAGACAATCTTAGAGAAGGTGACACATATAACTGGCAGAGAGACTACACTTAGGGTAGTCAGCACAGCATGATACAATACTCTTACAACACTACAAAAGGATGAAGGGAATGTCAATAGAATCAAAAGACAGCAACATTTTAGTGGACATACTTTAAGCTAAATATTGTTTTCCTGCTGTAAGGAACCAATTAGCACAACATGTATTTGAATCTGAAGCACAGAGTGTGCTCTTATGACTAATTAAAACACGATGAGCTCTAAGTTCAAAATTTTACGTATCAGTTCCTCACACATCAAGGTACATGCAGATATTGAAGTGGCAAGAGCTATTTAGCCTCTGAGCAGATAGTTAAACAGCTGTTGGCTGAAATTGTTTGAAAATTCTCTTGTAAAATCCAGTACCGATAGGTGGAAGAGTGCTCACTGAGTTTGCTGGTTTACTGGCCTGATCTGGCATTGTGGTTTCCACAGCCCTTAGCCTCACAAGGGCACAGCAATTGCTGGAGCAGCTGCACCACAGCCAGGGGCTTGGGCAGCCTCCACCATTTAAAAACTGCTGAAAATGTGATCAAGAACTAAATTCAAAGTACAGCGAATTAGATCCCCTTAATTCACTTGTTTTACAGGCCAGAATGAATAATTTAAAACATGAAAATAGTTTTGGAATGAACACAGTTGCGAACATATCCTTGCATGAAATGTGAACAACTTGTTAATCTTGAGATCCTGTTCAAAAGTGAACAAGTGCACTTGTTCAATTAAAAATAAATATTGCGGTACTATCAGCAGATCCTTGCTTCATTCTTTGTATGTAGTTTCTTAAATATTTTTAATCTGCATTTTACCCAGGGCAGTCAATAAAGTATATTCTAAGGAGAATGGAGTAACGTTTTTCCACAATACATTCAGCAAATTATTAACAAATGGTGTGACTACACACGCATACATGAACAGTTGTATTTAACATTGTCCACTGTCCTAGTGAGTAATTTCAATGGACCTAATTCTCATCTACTGTAAATTGGTATAGTCTTACAAAAAGTCACAATGTAAGTGTAAGAGGAGATAAAAATAAAACAATTGTGTATGCAGAGATAGGGAAATGCACCTTATATTGCAGAAATACATGTGTCCAGGAAAACACAAGCAATATCAAACATGCAAAGAAAGTTGTTTAATTCGTGAACTGTTGAGATTTTAATAATAAAGAGTATACTTCTGTCATAATTCAACTTTTATTGCAACTCTTTTGAACTCCAGACAGCTGTAATTTCCTTTTGTCTATCAGCCAAAAGGACTTTTACCTTAGTTTGGTTTTTTGCAAGGAATAAAAGAAACAATGACTCAGATAATTGTATTTGAAGCTGCTGGGTAAGGCTATTTTCACTCTCTGGAGGTAATGTTTTCATGCTAAGCTTGAAGTTTTGAACTACAAAATAAAAAGTGTGCTAAATACTGATTTTATTAGCCCTTTAAGCATTTTGCTTTGAAATAATGGGAGGAAAGATCATAATACTTTTATAGATATAATAAATCACTCCTAGAAAGAGAGATGCAATGCAATGAAATTAATTAATATTAGTAGTTCTCTTGGCCTTCTTGGAACTTGTCTCTATAGGAATAGTTTGTGTTGCTGCCATCTTATGTACTGTCAGATCACAGAAGTTCATATTACTCTAATCAACATAGTTTTAGAAAAGTCAACAGGCTGCAGAGGCAGAAGCAAAGAACTGAGTCTCTTTCAGTGATCTTCACATCAAGAACATATTCCTACCTTACAATAAATGTTATATATGCCATGAACAATAGGGAGCCTATTCATCTGCACACCCCAACAGGAATGGCACAAAGAACAAGTAACATAGATGAAGGTGAGAGCTCCCTAAATCTTTTACAAACCCAAATGATATTGCCCTGACATCTAAAGATGAACAAGGCTCCTGGCCAGTTCTTGCTTAACTGAACTTGTTTGTCCATGCCTATTAGGTACTGAAGATCAGCAAGTGTCCTTTCAGTTCACAGAGTTATTAGAGAATAAAATAGGCTGCCAGAGAAGTAGTTGCAGCAACAAACATCAGAGCCTGGAACTGATAAGCATCTGGGGACTCTTACAATGCTGGGTATATCTCCTGAACAGGAAGGAATGAATCAGATGGATGGTTCTTAGAATTCAAAAATCCCATTTGCCACACCTCTTAGCCAGCATGGAACCTTTCCTAAAAAATTCTCCCCCCTACTCACTTCCATATGCTCCTTTAAAGCCCAACAGTATTGCCAATAGAGCTAATTACCCTAGTGAAACAAAACACCTGCACACTGTGTCAGTTCAGTGTGTTTTACAGTGAGGAAAGCTAAATTCTTAAGCTGAAGAGGGTTACGCAGAAAATATATGCACTGTGCAATCGGTAAGTTTATGTCTGTGTGTTTGATCACATGCATGCATCCATGGACATCCACACACAATTTATTTCTACTGAAGGTCAATTCTATCCGTTTTGTTGAGTCTATTTGTATTGAGTGCCTCTCTGCTGATGAGATTCATGCAAAGCATGTCACTACATTTTTGGCAGGTAGTTTATGTGACAGAGTGACTTCAAAATTAAACTCTAGCAGTGCTGTGTCTATTCAGCTGCCCACAATCTTTGCAGGTGCAGAGGTAACCATAGCTCCTTTGGCTCATCTTCAGCAACGTTTTTGTTCTTATTACAGACTGGCACATCTAATTTCAAAAAGTCTACTTAGCACCTATCTTCCCTGCAGCATTAGCTCAAGTTCTCTTTAGCATGCAGGTTAATTCCTTGAGTCAAATCAGCCAAGTTGCAAAACACCACTTAAAAACAGAACAAGGTGTTTCTGGAACTTGACTGCATGCTGGCTTAACTTCACCTTGTACTCACAGCCCCTGAGCAGCCAGCAAAGTTCAGACTAGACTGCGAACAAGATATCTGGAAGGAGAGTAGGGAAGAGCTTGGGGCAATATAAGAACTGTGAAAAGGCCATAAGTACTAGTATTTGATGAAACACAACAACAAGCTTTAATAATACATCTGTACTGTTGAGATAAGAGCTTTTAAGGGAGTTCAGGCATAGAATCAAGTAGTTAAACTTTTTCACACACCTCTAACCTTCCTAGTCCTTGGCTGCCCCTCTGAGGAACAACAGTTTCTTGTATTTTGCCTTTAACTCAGTGTCCCAGACCTGAAAGATTTTAGCCCAATTTGCCTCCAACCATTAGTTTGTTTTTCTTATACTTTAAAAGTAGCTGACAGGGAATTTCCTATGAACTCTTGCTGCTGAAACTGCTGTAGTAATAATATTAAGAAGATAATAAGACAGCAAATAATGCATCAGAGACTCATGAAGCTTTCCTCTAAAAATATTAGAATGCAATATGTGGAAAGTATTATACATCAAATTGATTTTTCATAGAAAAGCTTAGTGAATCAATCCCCTACTTATAAACAAGATGGAATAAAAGTCCTGAAACTGCTCCTAGAAAATACAGAATTTTTCTTGAGCAGGTGATAGTTGGGTTATGTCTCTCCTTGGGCATGGTTGATAGTTCCCAGGAGTGCTTCGGCCTCCCAGATGGATTCAGAGGTCACAACTCCAGAAAAGTTTAATGTATCATATACTTTCTTGCTGACATCAGGTTGTTGAAGGGAAACATCAAGGAAAGAATGCCATGGAGAAGAAAGAGACTAATAATCAAATTCCACAAGTTAGGGCCTGGGACAGAAAGGGCTTAACTAGCCACGTAAGTAACTTAAATAAATGCACGGATGATTTTAAATTTCATTTTCACTTGTTTCTCAGTATAGACATTGCTAATTTTAAACAACGATTTGTTTTAGGAAGTTACATGAAATTATATTTTCTATTGGTTAGAGCTGTAAAAGAACTCACCTGGACACATTTTGCAATTATAATTTCTGCACAGTGTACTGGGAGCCCAAAGCCTAGGCTAAAGTAGAAAAATCAGCTATTTAAGCCCAGTGGCCATATGAGATTCCACAACAATTAAAGAAAGACTAAAAAAATCTAACTAACTGTGCAACAGTGAGAGTGGTTTAAGGTGAATTCTTCTCAGCAGCAGAAACAGTATTAAAAGGCCTCTGAATCAAGTCGTTGGTATGATTCTAAGGGAACACTTCAAGCTGGTGTATCCTGCGGAAAGAAAACAAAAGGAACTGAAGCAAAGATGGAGAAAGGGTATAAAGCTAAATTTTATTTTTCTTTAGTTCAGGTGGGATTAAGATTCTGTATTTAATTCCCTGGCTCTTAGGACTCACTGTTCTATAACTCACAGCTTTATTTTATAACTTTTTCATGCATATGTCCAATGTAGCAGATGGCATATTTCAATCAATCATTCCCCCTTTTTGGGCAATGCCATGCCATTTATCTGAAACAGTACCTTCTCTGAACTTAAGTATTTTCCATGAGTTTCAGACCCCTAGTTAACCAATCACTGAAGTTCATATTTGATATTTTCTCATTCCTACAAGCTTAAAAAGTCTGTACTGAAGAAAAACACTTCTGAGAAAACATGTGGGAAAACACGGAAAGAAGGAAAAAAAATCCAGACTGGTAAAACTAAAATATGTCAGTATTTAGAAATCCTAGTGTAAAAAGCTTCCACAAAGTCTGATACTGGTATGTCTTCTAATATTTACAAGGAAAAGTACATATGATGGTGCTGATGGCAGGTGAACAGCCAATAAAGGGTTTTTACGCTTACCATTGTAAACAACTCTTGGGAAAACCTCTAAGATTCCTGTAATGTAAAAAACCTGCTGTTTATACACTAAACACTGCAGGTACAAGACATCACTTCGTCCATGAAAACTTGCTCTGTGCTTAGCAGTTACATTGCTACACTGCTTTTGCAGGAAAGTACTGCCAACCATGCTCCACCCACTGCTCTTCCTCTCCCCTTGCATCCAGCCTACATTACAGGTCTCCCAGAGATCAAAGCTGATTTGCCCTAGGTTTGCAAAGGTTTTTTTTCCAATCTACAGCTAACGGAATGACTGGCAAAGCTGTCAATAACAACAGCTTCTGAAAGAGAAGATTTCATGCAATTAGAAGAACTCCCATCTCCTTAGATGTATTTTCTCGGTTCCTTTTGACTTCTTTAATTTGCTTTCCTAAACCAGTTTTATCAGCGTCAATTGCACAACAGCGTGACAGTGTGAAATATTATCTGCCACTACACTCACAATTTATGAGGCTCAGTGAAAGTTGTACTTATCTTAGCATTTTACATTTTTAGGCTTCCATTTTTATTGGGTAGTATTAAAGTAATAGCTCCAGAAGTCCCTCTTTTAGAAATGCTCCAAAAATTTAAACTGATAACTAGAGGCCTGCTAGAGCCATCAGACAGCTAAAACTGTGAAAGCGAAATTGTTCTCATAACTAGTGAAGACAGGAGAACTTTGAAAGTGTATTTGAAAGTTGTTTTTTTACATAGGCATATTTGACTCATTACAGTGTTATTGACAAAATTACGTTCTAGTCTTGTTGTAGGGCATCTAAAGGTTCTCCCATCAGTTGCTTTATAACTCTTAGCACATTTCTGTCATGTGATGTCTACAGGTAAACATGTGGGATCTTCAGAATATATGTCTTGCAGTTACTCATGAAAATTTAAATCCAGGTAACCTTTTTCTTACATAATATTCAAAGTCTTTTTAAACATTTTTAAAATACTTTTTAAAGTATGATATGGTGTATAAAACATGTGACAAAGATCTTTTTGTTTTTATTTTCTGCTTGGCACAGAGGTTGGGCCTTAAGTTAGTTCTCCTGCAATGATAGAGGCACAAGCTTCAAAGTGCTGGTATTCCCATAAGGAGCAGCTTAGGTTTAGTACTGCCAGCAGACGAGGAAGTTACAGAAACCTATGCCCTGTGCTCTGTCTTTTTAAGCAAGTTCATTGTTCCTTGCAGCTCCATAATGATTTTCATCTCATTTCCTTTTTCAGGTAACAGATGTTTGGATATGAAACTTGCCTACCTACATCCAGCAGTTACAGGTCCATAGCAGAATTATGCTTGATAAAACCTGATAAATGTATGCGCTTTATAAAGAGCTGTAGGAGTGGAAAATGAGCCATTCCTTAGTTAAATTATCTGGAGAGGATGGGGGAATTACTTTTTTCCCTCTGTTTCAAGTCAATGCTGGAAGAATCAATTTCTTTTGAGAAAAGTGGCAACTGAACTTTTTCTCCATAGGAGAGACTTCTGAAGTGAATATTTAGCACTTAATGCAGAAATATTTCCAGTACTTTAAGTGTTTTGTTAGAAGGTCTTTAGATAAACTTTCTGAAGAATTTTAGTAAGAGTTTACAATTCACTTCCAAAACAATTATTTGAGAAAGCTGCAGAGTGTGAAATGTGGTTTCCTTTCTGTGGGAAGAAAATTCAGTGGTATAAAATACTTTACAGAGGATACATTAATATAATTTTGCAAAATGTTATACAAAAAATACAGTGAAATTCTAATTTCACATTATATTTTACAGGCCTTCTGTTTCCAGAACAGCTATATTTTATAATGTTAGCTTCAAACACAGTGGAAAGACTGTAGAATGGGAAAGTGATTTGCTTAGGCTGAAGGAATGAAAACATTTCTAGATCAGTCGGTAGCATCTACCACTAATAGAGAATTAGGGAGCTAATTTCCTCAAGGACAGATTACTTCCTAATTGTCCATTTCAAAGATTCTTCTTTATGGTTGGCGTTTATGCTGTGGTAGTTCCTACAGATCAAACTAGTACTGCATGCTGAGCAGACACACAAGACATAACTAGTGGCAAAAATAACAAATAATCAAACTTACTGGCTGACAAGGAAAAATGTTCAGATGTATGGTATAATTTCCATCACAATTATTTTTCTGTAAAGTACGAATGGAGCCAACTAAATGACTGTTAGTAAACAGTGGCATTCTCTATAGCTTTTCATTAACTGCTACATTAGAGCCTCAGTCATGTGAGTTTTTAAGAGCTTTCAACTTTCCTCAATGGCTCAAATGATGTGTGAATTACTCTGGACTAAAATACCACTTTCTCCTTTTTAAGTCAAAATTTCCAAAAAAGAGGGGAAATATCCACTCTCCATCAAATGAAGACTTAAATCTCATATCAGAATTTCTTTTCTCCTACAAGACCTTCTTCACAAAAATCTATCAAAGGGAAAATTTTGAGTCACTCTATATGGAAATGATTGCTTCTTTTCTTTCACTGTTATTTATGATCTTGTTCAGATCCAGGAGAAAATGAGGGAGCAAACATAATAAACTAGGTCAGCTAATTATATAATCACACAAATAACTATAAAAAGTAACAAACAAGAAGCATAAGGGTAAAGGGTTATGTACACATTGGTGCATTAGGCCATAAAAGGTATTTTCCACTCTGCCAGCCAGCAATACTGCAAGTGTCTCTTTAGACTAATCATATTAAACTGAAGCTAATACATACAGTGAGAGAGGAACAGAAGAATTTATCTACACAGCCTAGAACTGGAGAGTGTACGGACTAAAAATAAAACCCCCAAAATGTTCTGAAAGTGTGGTAAGAATGGACAGTCTACACAAAAGGGAACATTTAAAGGAGAAAGTGTACTGCGTATTTTTCTGCAGAGGGGTATTTAAGAACAGAGGGTGAATGCTATGAAACAAGGGAGCACCAGGTTATTGCCGTTAGTAAATTTCCTGCCTCATGGAACACCACTGTAGCTCTGGGTTTTCTCTTTGTAGTGGTTGTCCTATTTTGAATGCCTGATCTTGTTCTTAGGCCCTTGTCCTTTGCTTGTGGGAGTTTTATTTTAAAGGGTGATGTACAGGGCAGATTCAAAGAAGGAAATACTGACAGTCTCAAAAGAGTGATGAGTACAAGCCACAGAAACATTATTTTCTCAGCAGATCACATCCTTGCTCATTTACGATGATGTGCTATGGTACCTAGTGTGTTAGGCTGGCTTGCAATGGGTTTGTCACTCCTGCACAGTTTGGATTGAGTATTCAGGTCTCCATTTACTATCTTTTTTAAATCTATCTGTAAGCTTGTGCTTTACTTTTCCTGTGTTAAGAAAAAGGCTTCAGAGTGTGTCAACACTGTGCTGAATCAATACTTCAGTGCATGACTAAAAGTTGGGTTTTTTTCTTTTTTTTTTTGATCAGGGTTGTTTCAGACTTCCTGCAAATGGCACAGGTTTTCATTTCAGGTACTTCAGATCTAGCAAAACATGCTGTTCCATATTTATTTTTCATATATCATATTAACTGAAAATAATCATTAATATACTTTGATCCAGAGCCTGCCAAGCTTCTCACAAGGAGAAAGGAGAGAAAGCCAATTTCCTTCACATCCTTCTAAGTCTACATGAGGACAAGGGAATGAAAGATCTGACATTGTCTCCATCTGGGCTTCTGTCAGTATTCTAGTAAATGTTGCAGTGAAAGTATTTTATAACTGTCCTGGGAATATTAATGATATTTATTTCTGGGTAGTGAGCATGACATAAAAGTAGTATTTTAAGACTTTTGGTTCAATACACTGTATTTTACTGCAATGATGTCAAAGTGCTGGGGCGTGGTACTCATCTTCTGTTGAGGTCATAATAAAAATACTCCTTTGACTAGGTCAGGTCTTCAGGTTTTACCACCAGGGTGATAAAACCAGGGATTGAGCCCTCCTTCTAGTGTATGTTCTTCCCACTGAGTTCGGTAGTATCCACCAAATCAAAAATCTGCCAAAATTTCTGTTTCTCTTTTAATGCCAAAATACTCTTTTAGATTCTCACCTTCATTATTTCCATAGATTTTCAGAAATGGTGGGCGGTTGTTGTACATGTTTTGTTTTGTTTTGCTTTCTGGTCTTCTGACTGAATTTTTCATAACACAGTATGTAGAGATCTTTACAGTGCACCTTAGGTGCTTTTCAGATGCTCCTGCACAACCTACTTGATTGCTCATTCTTTGTGACCTACATCCTCTGCTTTTGGGGGGTTGTTTTGTTTTGTTTCTGAAAAAAAAAGACATTAACTCCTTCTGAGAATTTGCTTTCTGATGTAAAAGCTTTCCAATTGTTCTTTTTTCCTTTCTTCAGATCACTTAATTTCAATTATATAATTTTCCCTAACTGCATATAGGTGTAATACATCAGAATATTGCCACAGGATCTGACTTTTCATTCATTCCATTTTGCTTTCTGCTTACAATCAAGGGGCTCAAAATTCTTTTAGTGTACTGATTCTGTATGCAAAACTGCATGTGGTGAACAAATTACAGTCCTTGTATCACAGGTTTCAGGAAGGACTACAAAATCGCTTTTTTCCCCTGGTATCAGAAATTATTTGATTTCCACTCAGAATATTTAACCTTCCTAAGCCATGTCTGCATGTTTTACATAATGATTATAATTCTGTAATGTTATTTTTGTGCAGATATTATACAAACCACATGTTCTAATAAAAAACACTGGCTATAGATGAATATCTGCACCACTTAATTTTTCTGCTCTTGTAGGAACAGTGCTTGTACTGTTTTACTATATTTTTTTTTGTGTTACGGTTTAATGTCTTTGACATGAAACATTTATTGCTATTATTTTCCATTAGAAGCTTTTTGTCCCTCATTTCATTTTCCATTGGTTATTTCTAACAGTCTTATCCTTTAATATTCAGCGTTAAATACAGGGGGGAAACAAAGAATTCACTAGGTTGAAACTGGAAAAGTGTAGACTATCCTTTTTTGGGAGACATATGATTTTCCCCATACCTATCATAAGCCTGTCGGTTTACAAGCTCTAAAAACTAGTTAGCTACAAAAACTCTGTTACCAGGTGAGAATTTTCCTCCTTGTGAGAATGGAACCATCCTTTGATTACTCAGGATGACCTAGAGAGACTCTGTGCCCTCCCTGACTCAGAGAGGTAGCCCAAGGATCATTTGCAGGCTCTTTTCACGCCACGATGTCCCTCTCCATGGTCACCTTCTTCTGCCATGGTTGTATCTGATGGCTCATTCAGGTTCCACGCACTTTCAAACAGGTCAATACTGTGACATGAGGAGGTGATGGGACCACTTTCTAGCCCTTAGGAGGAGTGGCACAACCAGCATTTTACACCTAGTACTGCAAGTTTGTCTTGGGGTGATATGAGGATTCTCACCATGAGGATCAGGGTTCATTGCATGAGCTCCAGCTCCCCAGTTCATCAGTGCAAGTACTTCCATCTGAAATGGAGACAAAATTGGGACTGTGTTATACACTCTGGAGCTAGAGAGGATAGGAGGATTATCTCATTTTTCTCTTTATAAGGTCAATGTTGTAACAGTATTTTTCCAATTCATCAGGAGATGACAGAGAGACTGCTGGGAAAATTTTTATTTTTCAGTGAAAAATTATAGGGTCAACATTTTCAGTCACACTCCAAAAATGCAAAGATTTCACCCAGAATTTGTTGGTCTGATGGAAAGATAACATTTCCTGGCAACAGCTCTGCTTGATATGAAATTTAACTGTCAAAACTCTCACTGAGACTTTACTGAAGTTTTTCAGATAGTTTGGTTTTAGATCTAAAACTCTATTCAGAGTAAATTAAGAAGACTTCCTGAAGAAAATACTGTGTGAGTTGCTTTTTTTTTTTCAAACTACAATATTACCTGGGTTTACCTAAAAGGACCTAATGTCTTTATAAAGTAATTCTCTATGACTTGATGCTATTTAAACATTGGCGTTCAAACCTGGGAGTTTACCGTAGTTCAGTTGCTCAGCCCTTGGCAGGTCAGAGAAGGAAAAGCTGTTTCATCCAGCTTAACTTTTTACTCATTTAGAGGTTAAAAAAACCTGGATTCTCTCAGTCTAATGTCTGTGACACCAGCCAGAATGAGTTTGGGGCTGGGAAATTAAAGTCTTTTCATCAGTAAAAAAAAGCCTAAAGAAAAGGTGTGTCCATTTTTTAACAGGAAGGGCATTGTACCCAAACAGTTTCAGAGTATTTAAAAAAAACAAACAACAAATGCTGTATTTGGCAAAGACAGGGATTACTTAACTGTCAGCATCTGGAATAGTTAGATTAATGGGCTGCAACTTCTACAGAGAAGTCAATAGACCTGCTTAATGGGTCCAAAATCCTAAGCTGATCTTTGCAAGCTAAGATTTAACTGATATAACGCTATAGTTCTTTTTTATTTTTTTTTTTGGGGGGGGTAACGTAAGATAAATTTTTTAGATCTATTTTTCAGATAATCTTGGGGGAGAGAAGGGAAGAAAGTAAAGTGTTTTTCTGTCACAAATGCCTTTGGACACCTCAAACAGAGATGAGGACAGGAAAAAGACATGAGCATTGGTGACGTAAGTCTTTAGCTGTATAGCTGAAGAACAGACAAGACATTGATGACCACTAAAAAACAGCTGCAAAAGCTGTGCTATTAACGTCAAGATCTTTCAAGATGTTCCCAGATCTTCATGTTACTGCCTTGCCATGCATCTGTTGAAGGATACTTAACTCCAAAATGTCTTGGGTAATACATGATTATATACTGTGCTCTATTTTCATGAAGCTAAAAACCACCAACCTTTTCTTTGTGCAAATTTTTTCTGAAATCCAGAATCACACAGCAAGACATAAAAAGATCCTGTGACTTAATGGAATAAAAACTGAATCCAAATCATTTCTTTAACCTATGGTTTAGAAAATAAGTGTATCCTGTGTAAACAGGAGTCACTGTAACAACAATGTCCACCTTTGGAACTATAGAAACAAATTACAACCCAACAGTGCAGTTGCTCATTTTTAATCCAAAAATACTTGTTGTGGGTTGTTTCCTTGGATTTGGTTTTTTGGTGGTTTTTTGTGGGGTTTTTTTGTGGAGTTGGGTTTGTTTAGGGTTTTTTTTACTTTAGGTCTTTCTTGTTCATTCAGCTTTTGCAAATCATATTGCATCTCTTATGCCAAGCTTCATTTCACATCTTTACGTACAAGGTCAAAGAGTATAAGTCTAATAAGTATAGTAGTGGTTTGCCCTGTGGATATGCACTTGTGTTCTTGTCTTCCACCCCCCAGCTTGCTTTCCAAATAGCACCCAATAGATTAATATCCATTTGAGTTAATGCTTAAGTTAAAACTCCAGTTCTGGCTTCTGTACAATAGAAGTGCGTGTGACACCATAGAAGCTGACAGTCCAAACATTAAAGCTTTTTATTAGCTTTCACACAGAGATTGCTTGCTATATAGGGTTCTTAAGGAATTGGTTTTATTTTTTTACTCAATTTTGAAAAAATAGCATTAACTATTTCATAGTTCAGAACAAATCAGCAAATGGTTTTCAGTGTTTATATTCGATAGAGTAATTACATGCAAAGCACAGTACATTTAAAATCTAAAGAATTCCACAATGAATAAAAAAATTCCAAACATATGATGAGATAAAATAATTTCTTTGTTCACTTTAAATATTACATGATTATATAATGCTGTGCTGATTATCTACATGGTACTCCATGTATATGCTTTGCAAGACTCTGAATAATGGGTTAAATGCCTGTGGGGACACCGTCTCTACTTAATGTTATGCAGATGACAATAGGACAAGAAGAGAAAAGCATGTAGTGATTTTAAGTTATCTTATCCTTTTATGATCTTGGCTACCTATAGAACCAAAAATATTTTTGCAGCCCTTGGCTGAAGTCTCCAATGTTGGGGAATCTGCGAGAAGACTTAAGACTACAGAGAATTTCACTAGTGTTTCACTACAACCTCAGTCTCACATCGCCTTCATATGTCTATTCCTACATGCATTTATAAACAAACAAAAAGTTATTTAGAGTAACTAGATTTGGTGGTTACAAAACAGCAATGCTTATTCCCCCACTGTCAGAATAGAAATATGAGAGCTTTGGGGAAAAAAAAAAGGAACTTCTTTTCTTTTTTAAGAGTGTATGAAATATGATCAACATTTTAATAAAATGAAGAGAAATTTGGAGTTAGGTAACCTCCTCCAATATATGGAAAGTCTTCCCTCAGGTGAAGGAGGTACCTAGAAACATTGACCCCTCCAAACAGGCCAGAAGAAAGAATAAGCTGAGCTCAGTTTAGGTAGAGAGAGGGAAGTTCCGAGGGGAACTGAAGGCTGAAGTAGACAAGTAGAATGAGAAATGTGATTTCTAGAGACTTGGCACTAAACCTAAAAGATTTCTTGCATACATATATTTAACTGCTAGGGATATGAATCCTAAAAAAAAGTAATTATGCAAGGTAACTCAGAAGAATCCTTATATTTATCCATATTAAAAGCATTGCATAGATGCAAAAGATTTTTATGCACTTTGATAGGAGGGGGATTGGTTTTGTTTGCAACATTCAGTGGTGACCATTAGCAGGCTAAATGGTTGCTTTCTCAGTTATCCTCCCTTCCCATTAAACTTAGGCTAATACTTCTTTCTCAGCATTAGAAACTTTGGTAGAAGTTGGCTAGGAAAACCAGTTCATGGCCTAGCACTTTACAGTGGGCAAAGTATTTGCTTATAGAAGGAAAAGAGCTTTTTCCTTTCTCTTCCAGAGGACCAGAGAATCTTCCTGTGTCTATCCTGTGTGCTTTAGGCTATGGCTAGAAAGACAGTTTTCAAAGAAACATTTTTTTCACCTTTAGGTGCTGCTTCAGCCTGGGGAAGAGAAGCCTTTGGGGAGACCTTACAGCAGCCTTCCAGTACCTAAAAGGGGCCTACAAGAAAGCTGGAGAGGGACTTCATGCAAGGGCATGTAGTGACAGGAAAAGTGACAATGCTTTAAGCTGAAAAGGGTAGATTTAGATTAGATATCAGGACGAAATTCTTAACTGTGAGGGTGCTGAGACACTGGCACAGGTTGCCCAAAGAAGTTGTGGATGCCCTGGAAATGTTCAAGGCCAGGTTGGATGGGGCTTTGAGCAACCTGGTCTAGTGGAAGGTGTCCCTGCCCATGGCAGGGACATTCCCATGGCAGGGAGGTTGGAATTAGATGATCTTTAAGGTCCCTTCCAACCCAAACCATTCTGTGATTCCATTACTCTATTATTTTATGATTCATAGAAACCTCTATTTTCCCAGTAAAGAATTGGTTTCAAGAAATTTCCCACCTTATAAAAATGCTGGGGAAAAAAAGATAAAAATTCTCACAATGTTATGTACTAACAACTGCAAAACAAGGAGTTCATTTCAATTCAAGCCAAATTTTTGCTTTAAAATGTAAATTAATTTAGATGAATAAACACATTAAAGCACAGACTGAAAAAAAGTCAAAGTATTGAACTAACTTTTTTCAGGTGACTAGATTTTTACTTGAAAATTGAAATTTTCATTACTTTTTCACTCTATATTATTCAAATCACCTTTTTTAATCGTTCTTTGTAATTACACATGGCAAATTATTTTTCAGCATTGCTTCTATTTTCAAAGTAGCTTTTAGTTTTGATACTCAGTATGAACTCTAGCTCCATTGAGTCATGGGATATTTTAGAGTTTACCTAAAAGCACAAGTATGTCCTTGCTCTTACTAACAAAGTTTCAATGTACTTTGTGAGTGAACATTATAATCACTGAAGACAACACAACTCAACATCCCACAACTAATATAACTTTACCAACAGTATACAGGCCACGCTGCACAATATATTTGTATGGCAAAACTGAAATGAAAACCCTCACCTTTTCTTCCTACATGAGAATTATACTGTGCAGTGGACAATATAAAGTGACTCCACTTAATGTAAGAGGAAACCAAGGTATTCACCTCTCTAAAAAAGATGAATTTGTTAATAATTTTCATTGGTTTACTTTTACTTTATTTTTATCTCATTTTTCAGTAGAACCAAGTATGTGGATCAAAAGGCTTACAGTTCCCTGCTTTGCTTAATGACCTGCAATGAATGCCCTGCTTGCCTTTATCAATTTACTGCACATTGTAGAATACTTCTCTTTTTAAAAAATAATTAAAAAAGAAAAATGCCCCCAATTGAACATGCTAACATGCCTCCTATTGAGTCTATCTTCAAGCAGCTTGCATAACGACTTTCATTCAAGTTCTCAGATTATTTTAGAATGGAATGGCTCATTTGAAACACGTGTCAATCAATGGGTCTTGAAGCTCCAAGATGCACCATGTGAGAGAAGAGAGTGCTTAGCACCTTACTGAATAAGGTTGCACTAATGAAGTTGAATTATTCAAACTATTTTCACTCAGCTGTGTATTCTTGAT